GGACGCTGGCTGCGTTTCCTCGTTGAATGGCTATACTTAGCCTTTGAGCGAGAAAAGAACCAGTCCTCTTATCACCAGCAGCAATGGCCAGTCGCGAATAGAGTTCCTTTAGGAACTTCACCGCACATGGACCCCACGGACCGATAGTCTCTACAGCAAATGGCCCAAATATGTTGTCATCTCTCAGAGACTCATACTTGCGCCACTTACTCAGTTCAGCAGCCTCTGATGCCGCTTTACCTCTCTCCTACAGGACCAATGTCATACCGTCGTGTCTCTTGCCATCGTCTTTTAATATTCTACAAAGCTCTAAACTACTACTACTAATTTCCATTGAAACATTTTCGCCAGGACAGAGCGTTTGCCATGTCTGCCCTGCCTCCGCAGCAAAGCACAGGTCTATTTTATTATTTAAAAAAAATGTTACATAAGTCACTGACACTATGCACGGAAGCAAGGAAAGCAGGCAATGCAACTCCAGAAAGATTTCTCACACCAATACCACCAAATTTTATAGGTAAATTAGCTTGAATCTAGGCAGTTATATTTAAAGATAAATTAAGAATTTTTCTATAGATATTTTAAGATTATTATCAATATCTTTTAAAATATCCGAACATTTCCAGACTGGACTCGAGCGGAGTATTTAAATATAAGTACAAGGAGACAATATTTTAAAATAGTAAGAGCAATGTTGGGGTTTAAGTCATACAATTTATCAACGTATCATACGTTTTTGAAATAAAATTTTCAACTATGATATTTCCATCCTTTTATTATTAGCTTTTTTTTTTTGCGACAATCTATGACGTTTTTTTGTTTTTATAATATTCATAGAACTGAATACTCTTTTGACTTGAGCATTCGAGTGTGGTTATGATTGTATAATAATTGCCAGTTGTGAAATCAAAGAAAAAGTATTCTCTCCGGTAGCATTCTTATACTGGAAAACCTCACTCCAAAACGGAACAGTGTGATTAGTATTAGCCCGCTTAATGAAGTTAATATTATGCCATTCTTGCAGCATACCGTTTATGAAATCGTTACTAAAACCCAATTCTTTAGGTACATCGGCAATTGCATTATTTTTATTCTCTTTTAAAGTTTCGTGTACATTTAACATTGAAATTTTTTCGGGATAGTGACGTTATTTGGTAATCTTTTCTGAACCTCTTTTATGAGTTTCAGACTAAATTCAGTGCACCTCGTCTTTAAATAAATTTTATTTTCTTGAGACAAACTCGACTCGGACATTTTCTTTTCAAACCAATATAATAATAGCCAATGTGTAGATTTGCGTACATACATTCGTTTGGAACTGATGTTGTCAACAAATCAACAGTTGGAAAAACTATGTTTTTTCCGAGTGACTGCACGAGAAAGACTAGTGTATCTAGTCATTTTGTGGTGTCATTGTCTTCCCCTTCAAATGCTTATAGTGCTACTTTTACGTCTTTTAAAGAATGCTTAAGATAAATAAATCTTGTACAAAAGATCGGCTGTGTAGCAATTATCATGAACTATTGAAAGTGAAAAATGTAGCTTTATTTCTTATCACTGCTCCAGAATTCTACAAACTGCTGATTCAATTGAGAGACAACAGGTTGCACAGCCTTTTATATTTTTAGTGGCCGTTTTTACAATTTATTTATTTATTTATTAAGGACAGCCAACAAATCTTACACCAAAAACATTAAATTTTTAAGCTATCATCTAAGATTTAAGCTAAGTGCAGATTCAATTACAGGCTGCCACGACTTGCAAATGTGAGTGTTTAATGTTTATTAAAAAGTAATAAAATATAAAAAACTAAAAAAAAAACTAAACTAATCCAAAATTATTCCGTACTCAAACTTGCACCTAGAACTAACTTTTTGAATTTAGAGAGGCTATTTGAAAAAATGTCTACGTCCGTTTTTTTCTGGAGTTCATTGTATTGTCGTTGCAGCCTGTTCATGATCGCGTGATGGCCGAGATTGTTTTTGGATCCCTTGGTAGAAAATGGTGTGTATTTCCCTTTTCGCGAGATTTTATAGGGTATATTAAACCGATACCTGTTCGAACAGTCCAGGGCAATCCAGACCACCTCTTACAATTTTATATAAAAACAAATGATCTAATAAAAGCCTCCTATTTTTTAAGCTTTTCATTTTGAATTTTGCAAGTTTATCAACGTACGAAGGCAACTGATTAGCTAGACCGGATTGAAATGAGACATTCCATAAAAACCTTTTCTGCACACGTTCTAGTCGCTTAACATATACTTCGTAGTGTGGTGACCAAACCGGGCTGCAATACTCCAAAATCGAACGAACATATGCGTTATATAATAAAGTTTTAGTGGCTAGTTTTAGCTCTTTACAGTTACGAATAACGAAACCTAGCATTTTGAAGGCCCTAGATGTTATGTCTTCAATGTGTTTGTGAAATCGAAGTTTTTTATCCAAAATAACGCCTAGGTCCCGGATAGAATCTACCTCTTTAAGTTGTTTTCCATTGATGTGGTACGAAGGTGATGCTTGCAACCTGTGCCGTGAGAATCTAATAAAATTACATTTATCAACATTTAGTTCCATTTGGTTTTGATCGACCCAGATTGCTAGACTATCAACATCCTCTTGAAGAAGCACAACATCAGCAGCTGAGTTGATTTCTCTACAAATTTTTAAGTCATCTGCAAAAAGATAGACCTTTGAGTATTTTAAAACCGAGACTATATCATTTATGAAGATGTTAAATAGGGTAGGACCAAGATGAGAACCTTGGGGTACACCTGAAAGAACTGGCAGTGGATCAGAAGTAAAACCTTCCAGGACTACACTTGCCACTCGACCTGATAAATAGGAAGAAAACCACTTAAGCAATCCATCCCCGAAGCCATATTCTGCCAGTTTTGTCAGCAGGATTCCATGGTCCACTCTGTCAAAAGCCTTGCTGAAGTCGGTGTAAATAGTGTCAACTTGATTATTCTTGTCTACTGACTGACTAATATCTGAGACGAATTCAGCAAGGTTCGACGCAGTCGAGCGATTCCTTACGAACCCAAACTGTCGAGCCGTAATAAAATGTTTAATGTGCCAGGATAAAATAGGACAAAGAAGTGATTCGAATACTTTAGCAATGACTGGTAGCAGTGAAATTGGTCTGTAGTTTTTTATTAGTTTATCATCACCAGACTTAAATACTGGCACAATAAGGGCTCTCTTCCAAACTGTAGGAAATTCCCCTCGACGCAATGATTCATTTAAGATCAATGAAAGCGGATATGACAAACACTCTGAACAGTAAATTAGAAACACCGGAGGTATTCCATCAGAACCAGCACCCTTTGCGGGATCAAGTTTCTTTAGGGCAAGTTCAATTTGTCGCGGTGAAAATAAAATTTCCCCAATACTATAAGTGCTAGTCACCACTGGTGGGAGAATCACTTGTCTTTTAGCAGTTGAGGGCACACTATAAGCTAACATGAAGCAAGTGGCAAACAGATTAGCTATATCCCTTCCAGATTAAGCCGTCTCGCCATCATAGTGCATTATAGAGGGGAAATTACTACTGTTAGATTTTTTATGTTTCATGAACGACCAGAACAGTTTGGGATTCTTAGAGAGTGAGTTTTCTATGTCAGATAAATATTTTTTTATATGACAACGTGATTAAAGAGTCACACCTCTTCTTCAAGGATTGTAAGTACAACAGATCAAGAGGGTTATTGTATTTTTTAACTTTCATTCGATATTTTTGTTTTTCACGAAGAAGTTGAATTAAACTTTTCGAATACCAAATAGGATATTTTGTGTTTTTCGGTTTGCACAATGGAACATGACTAGTTATAACCTCTCTCAGTATGTCATAGAAACGTTTAACTTTGTCTTCTAGATCTAAACAGCCTCGAAATTCTTGGTCCCACGAGGTACCCATAAGACTCGAAACAATTCCCTCATAGTCCGCCTTGTAGAAATTATGTCGGGGTACACTACTTTTATCTTTAAGTTTCGTGTCAGATCGCATTGATAGGGAGAACTCTAGAATTGGGTGTAATGGGTCTATAACGCTAAGGCTGCATGTGCTGTTTGTAGGTTTAGCAACCTCAAGGTTAGATAATATCAGATCCAAGATTCTATTTTTACAATTAGGGATGTCATTATACTGTTTTAAGTCATTTAAATTAATAAAATCTATTAACATACTATTAAGAGTGCCCGCAGTACTCGAGTTGCATGGTAAGTTATTGTTCCAAACTAAGGAGTTCATATTGAAGTCACCTACAATAATTGTATTCGTTTGTGCCTCCATATTACGATTAGAGTTATTAATAAATTCAGCTAACATTTCTTTTTGTACAGGAGGAGGTAAATATACTGAACAAATGTGTATTTTTTCAGTTCTGAACGGTGATTTAAAAATCAGGGCTTCCCATACATCCTCGGACAGGCTTTCATAGGACGAAAGTCTATAAGAGGTGATATGTTTTGCAACAGCAATAAGTACCCCGCCGCCCTCTTTCCCCCTATGAAATCCACTAGTTTCACGATCCCTTCTATACACATTGTAGCGGTCGCCAAACAGTTCACCATCGTAAACTGAACTATTAAGCCACGTTTCAGTCAAAATAATCACATCATAACTACTTACTAACATATTTTTATAAAATTGCAAGGTTTTACTTCGTAAGCCTCTAATATTTTGGTAGTATAATTTTAAGCTATTGAACTTTTTTCTGTTACGCCTAATACATTCGATATAACTGTATAATATAACTAAACTTAGCTCCGCAGCATGTCCATGCTACGCACATATACATATTCAGAGGTTTCCGTCTCCCGCATGAAAACTCTTCCTCCGCGCACCCACACAAATTTGTAGTTCAGTTCCTTGGCGCGCAAACGGGCAGCCGCATGCAGAGCTTTGTTTTCTGGAGAAAGGTTTTCCACCAAGTATACCGCTGGCTTTCTCTCGTCACTAAGCCCTAAGTGACTCGTATTTAATTTTATTATGATATATTAATGATTTTTCTTGTTATATTCCATCGCAGCCGCCAGTAACTTATCACGAAGACGTGGACTGGCAAGACGAATCAAGATAGCTCGGGGTCTAGATGATTGCTGGTTCATCTTAGCTATACGAGTGCAGTGGGAGATGTCACTTTCGCCAACTGGGCAGTTAACAGCGCGACCGAGTTGCTGAACAACATTCATCACATTTTCGTTTTTATGTTCTGGGACACATTGCAATTCCAAATTAGCCGAGCGGGAGATCTGGTCAATTAGAATGACACGGGAAGTAAGACTATTGACCTCTGCACGGAGTTTTGTGTTTTCTTCCTTCAACTGTCGAACTTCGGACGTTTGAGTGTTTAAGTCGGCTTTAATTTTCTCGAAATGCTCATTGAAAAACGTTAAGGACTCCTTGAAGCTGTAAATATCCGCGTGAATTAAGTTCAATTGTCTGGTTATATTGTTTGTGTATTCCTTTACTATTTCATTTATTATAATACGTATCTCAGAGCGAGAAACGCAGTCAATGTGCTCATCCACCTGCGGATGTTCTGCTGGCCTACGCCTCATAGTCACATTAGTAGGAATTGACGCCGTCGAAGGCGATCCTCGGATCGGCGTGTTGGAGTTATCACCTCGAGGCCGTCTACAGACGCAATCCGGACACAGCCAATCCATTTTTAATTCTGCAGCCATCCCATTCAGTTCAATATCAGAGATATTAACGCATAAGCTGTGGTAATATTGTTTACACGTCGCGCAAACAATGTACCCGTCGCCGCTTCTAACCGTGTCTCGGCATCCAACACATGTACGAATCATGTAGGTAAGTAAATATAGTTTCTTGCAATTAAGTGTGCCTGCGCTGGACTACTGCTGGCGAATAGCGCGTGATAGACAAAGCCAAAAAATGCAACTCACTCTTACCGCGGCGGGTGTGAGGTAGTGGCCCCCTTCTGCGACGACTCCGAGATGCGGTACGAGACAAGGGCAGCAATTATTCCAGTTAATGTCTTGCTCTTCATACAGTATGACTGATTTCGTAGGAATATAAAACTCACTATATACAGTGCACTGCGTATTAGACGATAATTACACTACCGTAAAGGGTGCAACTGCGTGCGGTCAGTTTCAATTTCGGTATTCGAACCAACAACACGTCCACCTCACACAACTTGCGTACGGATCAATTTATTGTGTTATAAAACTTTTTATATTCTTGTTGTCTTTTAGGTGGAATCGAAAACAATTGTAGATTTCCCGTACAAGAAACTATGTTTCTAGGTACGGTATTTACTGAGGCATGTGAAACCGCAAGTTGTAAAAAATGACATACGCAGCGAATCAATACCAAACTTTTTAAACCATGTTCTCTCTTGAGTAGTTTGACAATACCGTTATTTACTCCCACCATCACAGAAGAATTATCTGTACCAATTCCTGTCTTATTAGCGATCAGGATGCTAAGATCTTTCAAAGAATTAACAAGAACAACAGCCAGATTTTATTGCATCTGCAGTTTCTACTAAAGCGAGCTTTTTTATAGGAGAGGGGGCAAACGGACATGCAGCTCACCTGATGGTAAGTGACTACCGCCGCTCATGAACAACTGCAACATCAAGGAATTGCAGATGCGTTGCCGGCCTTTTAAAAAGGAGTAGGCCCTTTTCTTGAAGGCCCCTAAGTCGTATCGGTCCGGAAAAATAGCTGGTGGTAATCGATTCCACAAGAAAGTTGTGCGAGGGAGAAACCTTTTCTAAATCTCACAGTGGTGGACCGCCAATCATCCAGATGGTATGCATGGTATCGCGAGTTTTATCGCGATGTGCGATGCTGAAATTGAGTGGCTGGAATTAGTCCGAACAATTCCTCATATCACTCCCCGTGATAGATACGATAAAATACGCAAAGAGATGCAACGTCTCTACGCAGTGCCAGTGAATCAAACTTGAGATATGCTGATCCAATGGATTGGCTTTTTACACTGTAGTACTGTATAATGATTCCCAGTGTTTTTGAAACTGAATCATGCGTGAATTCATCTATAAATACACCGTATTTTTAGTTAAATAAATCTTCAAGCAATGATTGCGTAAAATATAGAGCTAAGATTTCGCTTATAATGTTAATACACTTTGTAAGATGTAAGTGCATGTTTTAGCATCCTCATCACTGGAAAACACCTTTATACACAATACGCTTAAATGATCAACACTTAAAATTGAACAATGTTTGGCAGTAAATAAAGGAAAATCTCCTTCTACTCTGCTTGATATTCTAGTCATAGTTTTCAGAACAATTTGCGCAGGTTACATGTCTTTTTAAATCCATTTTTTCGTTTATGCTTGTTAGTTTTCGAATAATTTCTAATGTCACTCTTAGGCTGAGATCTATAGATCGTACTTGGACTTTACTCAGACTTAGCTTACGAAGAACTTAGCTGAGTAATGCTTAGCATTATCTTGGATTCCGAATTTATAGTTGTATCAGGCTAAGATTGTGCTAAGCTTATGCTAAGGCTCAGACTGTCAAAAAATTAATGGATGATTTATTCTACGCATTATCTTAATGCTTTTAGTGAATAAAAAAAAATATATATATATTTAAAAATCGAAAATAGTCCAAATTGTATTTCATAAATAAGTTTTTATTACATGAAGTAGAAAACCGGCGAATTTAAAGAGAGATAAAAGTACATTTAACTTATTTTAGTTAAAAAATATGAGATAGAAACGGAACGTTTAATCACCCGGTCGCGCGCGCTGTCAAATCACTGTTTCTATTTTCTAACGTGAATCTTTTGGTTTATTGATATTGTGTGCATTTTATGTTTTTATATATATTTTAATCTCCTGATATTTTTATTACGGCTGGCTTTGGAACTTGGACTCCCAACCTATTCGACCTACGCTTCAGAAATTTGGACCCGACAATCTTTGGACTTTTCTGTGATATAATGGAAAATATAGATAGAGTTCTATCTACTTTAGAAAATATAGATAGATTGGGGTCTTCAGCAGATATAAATTTTCGGCGCATGCCTAAATTCTATGTTCGGAATGAATACAACCAAAACCCTTTCTAGCTGTATGACGAAAATGAATTTAGAAGAAGATACCGTTTCACTAAACTCACTGTTTTAAATGTAAAATTACCTTTAATAATTGCCAAATTTGAAGCATTTGGACAATAGAGGCTTGCCGATTTCTCCAAAACTGCAATTACTTATTGCATTAAGATTTTATGCTACAGGATGTTTCCAGGTAATTATTGTTTCATAGAATAGATTTTTTATTCAATTGAACTTTTACAAGTTCTTTCCAATAGTCAGAATCTACCGTTGGTTATGTATATAGTAAGTATGTTTTTTTTTTATGGAATAGGGGGCAAACGAGCATGCGGCTCACCTGATGGTAAGTGACTACCGCCGCCCATGAACAACCGCAACATCAGGGGAATTGCAGATGCGTTGCCGGCCTTTTAGAAAGGTGTAAGCTCTTTTCTTGAAGGTTCCTAAGTCGTATCGGTTCGTAAAATTCGCTGGTGGTAATTAATTCCACAAAGAGGATGTGCGAGGGAGAAAACTTCTTCTAAATCGCACAGTGGTGGACCGCCAATCATCCAGATGGTATGGATGGTAACGCGAGTTTTGTCGCGATGTACGATAGTGAAATTGAGCGGCTGGAATTAGTCCGAACAATTTCTCAGAGCACTCCCCGTGATAGATGCGATAAAATACGCAAAGAGAAGAATTCAAATAAGAACCCGTAATATATTTGAGAGGTTTTTTGGAGTATGGGAAAAGAAATTTCCATACTTACAATTGGGCCTACGTTCTAAGCTCACTAATACAAGCAACATAATTGTAGCTTTTAAACGTGGTAGAGCCATGCTGCAGCTATATTATGGTTGTAGCACGAATGTGTCGGTTCGACCGGGGAAGGACCACGCTCTCACAGAATACCAGCGTAAAATAGCAGCTTTATGTTGCTGTGTTTCGTATGGTGATAGTAGAGAACCGGAGACCCTTTTTACTGGAAAAGAGGCATTCCATCTTAGTCCTCACGGGTGACAACGCATCTGCATTTTGATTCTTAATCGAAGATAGGTGTATTTGTCTATGGGCCACAGCAACCACTTACCATCAGGTGGACTGTGTGCTCGTTTGTCACCCTTATCCTATAAAAAAAAGCTTGTGCAGTATTGCACAACATAGGTATACAGAGTGGGGCTGCTTATGACGATGGTGATAATGATCATATACCGGAAGTTCCAGAAAGACCAAACAATGAAACATCATCCTCTGCAGGTCTAGCATATCGGCAGTCTGTAATAGCACAATTTATTTTTATTTTTATTAAATAATTAAGAAATAAACTTTAGTAAAACAAAATTTATTTTATTCCCTTTTTCGCTTTATTTTTTAAAATATTTTCTTTTTCTTTTCTTCTTTATAAAATTTCTAACTCTAAAGCTCGTGTTTTTCTAAAAATTCAGTTTCCTTTAAATATTTTTCTCAGCCCGTCTGCTTTCATACTCATGTCTCTTCTTATTATTTTCTAATTCTTGTAGTATCAGCTCCTGTTTCAGTTCATCAAAAGTTTTCTTCTGCTTTCCCTGTTTCGGCTTTGGGCTTTTTTTTTTGTACGTCGTCTATGAATTCTATTTCTATATTATTATTTTGCTCCATATCAGACATACGAGCTCTCTTTGGGAGCCACATTTGCTCGTCGTTGTCTAGTGCAAGGGTTATACCTGGAAATAGAAATACAATGTTATAAGTGAAATTACAAGCACATATGTCATCTTACTCATTAAATAAATACTATTCATTATTGGACTCTTAATAATATTTGAGTGAATAAATCATTTAAATTGATAGTGCTAAACGCTAAGTAAAACCTATCATGACTTATGAGTTAATTATTGGAAGTAAAGACTAGGAATGGGTTGGGGGCTGACCCGAACTTTAGAGATAGTCAGTTTGAATAGCCTATCATGTAGAGCAGGGGTTCCCAATTTTTTTTTGCCAAGGAACCCTAAATGATTATACTTTTCCTAGCGGAACCCTACCTTGATAAATGGAAATTTGCCTACCTTGAAAACGGTATAAATGAAAAACAATTAAGTTTTTATGAAATTATTTTTGTACATTTACTGTGAATATGTAGGTAGGTACATAAAGTAATAAAACGTACAAAAAATTTCATTCGTCACATTAAATTCATAAAAACACGTTTGTGAATTTAATGTGACGAATGAAATTTTTTTACATATTTTCTTAAAATAGCATTAAAATTAGGCTTAATGTCCGACAGTTGAACGCGAAGATCTGGAGCTGCATCCAGTCTATTTCTGTACTTGCTTTTGGTGTAAGCATATGCGGAAAAACCAGTCTCGCATCGGTAAGTCGTCACAAACGGTAACAGTAATGTGATGGCTCTATTAACAATTTCTGGGTATTCATCTTTGAGTCCAATCCAAAAGGCGTTTAAATCAAAAGTTCCTTCTTCATACTTTTGTTTTAGCGTTGATGAAAATTTGATGTCAATCAAATTCTCATACTCTGACACCGACAGCATCGAAGGTTTGGTGTGATTTACAAACGGATTCTGCACCCAGTCCATGTCCTGCAACTGCTCCGGAAAATACTCATGCAAAGATTTTGTAAGGCTTGTCAAATGCTCATGTATATTCTTTTCCACGTCTGAAGATACCCGCAGCTCATTTTCTTTTAGAAAGTCATTTAATATTGTGAAACATTCGTAATTATGTTTTTCAACACATTCAATCCAGAACGCAAGCTTGTTTTTCAGTGAAGA